CCTCATCTCCAACATCCTAAATGTGTCATAAATCTCTCCACTTCTCACCTACCTCACCAACATTACATTAATCCAAACCATCCATCATTTCTCTGGCAATAATCTCTTTTTTAATTAAAAAATGGTTTTAGTTGTAGATGAATGCAATATTTTTGTTTATTTATTTTTTATGTGATGCTGAGGATTGAACCCAGTGCCTCACACATGTGAGGCAAGCGCTCTACTGCTGAGCCATAACCCCAGCCCCTGGCAAAAAGAAAAAATATATATCTTTTAGTCAACCTTCTCATCTCCAAACTTGCTTGACACTTAAGGTTTGCACACACAAAAAGCAGCCAGAGATTTTCAAATATAGCCATGATGTTTTCATACCCAATATTAAAACTCTTTTAGTAACTTCTCACTCCCCACCTTCAAGCTCAAACTCTTTAAGGTGAGTTATGCACACGAGGTGGCCCCCAATCTCCTCCCAATTCCCCTCACCAATTGTCCTCTCTCGCCACTTCCTTTCTCCCTCTGCTGGCTCGGGTGATTGTTAAAACTGGGGATATCTGCAGCAGCCTGAAATGGCTTTTGGGCTCCTGTTCTGTATTCCATGGGTGGCCTCACAGCAATAATGAAGAGCAGTGGAAGCACAGGAGACAAAAAGCAGGCAAAAGTAATTTTTATCAAGCTCCTTTTTGAGTCAGATGTTCTTGTACAGGCAAAATAGGAAAAAGGAAACACAAAGATGACTTTGGGGGAAGAATTTCTAAAGGAGAATGCATTCTTGTGTTTTCTCCAAGCTACAGCTCCTCTGGATTTTAATATTATAGTGAGTGGGGTCATAACAAGAATTTCCTCTATTGTTGGCTACACAGATGCAAAGCGGTGCTCAGGAAGCTGGGAGATTGATGAATAGTTGGTTTGATGTATTTGAACCATTCACCACTTTGAGTTAAATGTGCATATTCTGTTCAAAATAGACAATGGGGAGGGGCGGTCTCCCCTTCCTTCTCTAACTTGCATAACATCAGGCCTCACTGCTTTAACTAATGAGTATTTAGAAGTAAAGACTCCTACTGATTCCAGCCAGCCATTAATTCTCGGCTTGCAGAGCCACTGTGGAGTTTTTCATCAGTCACATTTTTTAGCCATTACCAGTTGCTTCTGAGCAGTAGTGCTGACCCCTGGATTCCTGTATATGTCACACATCAGACACATAATGGGTTCCCTTGGAAGGAATTTTACTGGGCACCAGGAACAGACGCAAAGAAGATGCACATTCTGGCCACTCTGTTGACAAAGGTGTCTCAGAACTGTTAGTTTTGGGGAAATGTAACCGACTTTGAGTGAAAATGTATATATAAACCAATATGTAACCTGGTCGAAGGCAGCAGGTGGAGGTGAGCTGCAAAATTCTCTTAAACTAATCACCCAGTCAGCACTGCCCTTTGTAATAATGATGTTTGCTCCAGGTTTATTATTTTGCTCAATAGCTTCATTGATCTTGCCTCAGTGGGCTCTCCATTTTTACACATTACATTCTCTTGAGAATTGAAAAGCACTGTGTCTCTGAAGATGCTCAGTCAACTTGAAAAGACTCATTTTTGCAAAGGTCTTAACCTGCCTTCAGCTTGAAGCAATTCAGACTTTGCCCAAGCAAACAGGAGGGCAGAGAAGCATCACTGGAGTATCTGTTTCTACCATCATTTGGAAGCTGTTTTTCTGAAAGGTCATTTACAGACCGATCATGAAGGGTGTTCAAAATTCAGGGATCTATACTCATAACTAAAGAGAATATACATATAATTGGGAACAGGGCAATTCATTATTTAATGGATTCTGCATTATTCAATGTCATAAATATTTTGTGGGAAGGCCTACTGTTCCATTAAATCTCCAACTATTAAACTTATAATGAGCAAAATCATAATGTGTGGAGGAAGGGAAAGTCGGGAGAAGAAACACACAGAAAAGGCCATGAAATAACTCCCACTCAAATTAAGATAAATCCAAGTTGGAAAGGCAAGAATTACATGGCTTTTCTTTTTGAATTTGAGAGAATCTCATTTTATTCATCAATAATTCTCTGCTATTTGAAAGAAGGAAGGGCAAATTAAATATCTTAAACTCATGACTGAGGGATCCAGAAAGACAAGAAGCTCTTCAACCCCAAATAACAAAACTTCAAATAGCATAGCATTAAAAAAAATACCAAGAATGGTATATTTGACATTAATTGAATCAAAGGCAATACACAGAATAAAGTAGGCAAAATGTTCAAACTACTAGAAAGCATGAAATTTAAAGTGCTCTGCATTTCCTCTCTACTGTGTAAAAGTTTAACCATTTTGGTGAGTACTAAGTCAGCCAGTAGACTTCTCCACAGTACTTTTCAAATGGTTAGGTAACAGGTGAAAAAGGGAATAAAAGGACAAATTAACACTGCAAATTAGTCATCTTCTGACAACATCCATATTTCACAACAGTGACTCAGCAAACTACTTAATGTGAACTTCAATGGCTTTTAATCTGTTTTGTAATGAAAAGACCTGACTTGATTTGGGCTTTCATATGACTTTATCAATCATTTCCACAGTTCGGAGAATACTAACAATTAGTTCTTGGGACAAAAGTTTGCCTATATTAACCTTCCACCCACCCAGACAGCCATAGGCAGCACTTAACTTTTCCATTAAAATGAGAAAATGTCAGGAGCTAAAAATATAAGTCTATGCAAAGGTGTGAAACTTCTTTCCACATTATTACCTTGGAACAATGACAATAGTTAAGGTTTTCTCTTTTTCAGAGGGAAGAGGCAGAGATCCTAGCCCTTCTCCCCACCTCCCCCAAAGGTTTGAGTCACAGGGTTTCTTTGTGCTGAAAACCAGTTATCATCTCTGCTTGAAACCTAAGCAGAATTTGGGGACCACCTGGAACCAAGTGGGGCAGGGAGCTTTCCAGATGGATTATAAGACAATTCATTGATATTTACATAAGGAGAATAAATGTTTTTCCTAAGATAGCATGTCCCTTCAGTATCTTCAGACCACCAGCAAGAGAGGGAGGTACAGAAATTCTATTACATTAATAGTCTTTGTTTTTATGGCTTTGGCATTTATTAACTAGTGGGAGCTGTTTATTGGGTCATAAACTTTACTAATGGGGATATTATCTCTAAATTATAAATCTCCTTCAGTATATGGCTTAGTTATAAAAAGAATAATTATTTAAAGTGTCTGTATGGCTGCAATGTATCATGTTTATCGGCATGATTCCTATAATGGCTATTTCATTGTTTTGTGGGCTTGAACTAGAAATGATCAGGGCAATAATACACATCTATGCAAGAGAATAAGCAGTTGTTACCCCAAAAACTCAGAAGTGTTCTCTTTGGTTTCCTTCCCTTTCTTTTCTCCTTCTGCTTCTCAAATGAAGTAATTACAAGCTGGTATAAAGGCTAAATTATCTATATATCTCAGCTCCTGAGGAAAAGATAACCAAGTAAAGAGTTGAATAGGTAAGTGACAAATGTGTCAGCTTGAAAAGTTCCAGGAAAGTGTCATCATTCTAAAAGCTTACTCTCTGGGGAATAGAAAATCTTAAAGTGACAAAATGGCTTGGCACTGTCAGTTGTCTTCAAAAAATATAAAAATCCTGGGACAGAACTCACATAGTCAAAATTAGGGTTTATGGGTAGATGCTTCTAGTATCTTAATTGAATATCCTGGTTTATTAGAAGTTCTGTGGAGTCTATTTTAACAATGGTACATGTGTAATTAATTATCCTAGATGGCTTGTATAGAAAAGTCACCTATTGATTAGCTCAGTTTAAAAAAAAAAAGATGAAAAATCCATTGCTGTTGAGCAAAATTGGTCCACCTGAGTGCCAAGAAGCCAGCTCACTTCTAGGCAAGATGCTACAAATGTGGAATGAACGAATAAGGAGACAGGCGGGGTCCCTGAAATGTCATCAGCATCTCGTCCTCTCCTCAGAGCAGCTACTGAAAGGTGACTGGTGCAGTCCCTTCCTGACAGGGTTGTGCCATCTCTGAGAACACTGAGTAAATGGATTTATGATACACAGCATCCAACAATGGGGATTCAGGTGGACTGCAGAAGATTTCTAATACTAAGTTCCCGGAAGTCTATGGCCATGAGTTTTAATCAAATGTAGACTCTATCACAAGAATTCTGCTGAAGAAAAATAAACATAGAACCAGGGAGATGTAGTTTCAGAATATTTAAATCTCTGGGCCTGGGGGCTGTTGGTATGTATGAAAAATAGACCAAAACAAATCCTTGAAATCTTCAGCATTCACATCCTTAAATATTTTAGACATAATACACTTTTGGTCATACTATAATTATATACACATGCATATATTCCTAGGCTAAAAAGCTGACTTTAGATTCAAAAAGGGCATTAAAAATACAAACACTGCATATGTTTCAATTTTTCACCCAAGTGTGTGTGTGCTGGCAGGGAGGAGGTTCCTTTTCTTCCCATAACTTTACTAATTTCAGAAAATAAATACATTCACTCTAGAGAGGTTTAAGACTTATTTGATGAGGTGAGTTGCCATAAAACTTAATTATATAAGTAATAAACACATGTCAAAAAGATTTAAAAAATGTTTATTAGAATCACAACTTATTGCTCTGATATAATTTGATTTTAAATTGTCATATACAGCTTTCAAAAACTATTTTATTTTTATATTGCAATAAATCAAAATACATTGGATGGAAAAATTATCGTTAAGATTCTTTGGTATTCATAAATCATACATATGATAAAAATGTTCAACATTTCTTTAAATGGCATTTTAATAGTGCTGGTACATTAGTAATATAATATGATGCTCTGAAAAACGAAAATGACAAAAGATTAATTGTGGTTTATAGATTTCTATTCAATATGAACCTTGTTTCTTTTTGCTTTTAATAAAATTATATCTACTAAAATAAACTTGGCAAAATTAGAGAGGTACATCAAAGGAAGTTGATTCAAAGTGTCATGGTTCCTCCTCCTCTAAGCCAAACACATCCCTCAAAAGGTCTAAGTATCTAATGAATTTCACAGGAATAGGTGATGGCATTCCGAGCCAAACATCTTCACATTTCTAGGAAAAAACAAAGATGGATATAATTAGAGCCACATTTCAAAACACAGTTTTGAAAATTCAACATCAAATTGTTTCTTGCCATTTGGTAAACAGTTTATTTTCAAAACATAATTCTTTGCTGTCCACTTCAGGATCATGAGGACTTTGGTATATTAGATTCTTTCCTCTTTCTCTCTCTTTTTTCTTCCAGTGCTGGGGTTGAATCCAGGGTTTTGTGCATGCTAGGCAAATGCTCTACCACTCAGCTATATCCCCAATCCTAACTTCTGTATCTTGATCCTTCACTTGCTGCCTCTCTTAGAATTAAAAAGGTCCACACTCTGCCATGTGACTGCAGACCCTCCCACAGAAGAGGAGGAATGTTTTCCTGTCCCTTTGATATGGGCTTGGCTACATGAATGGCTGTGGCTTGCACACTTTTAGTGCTGGCCTGTTATACTTTTGCTACCACCATGAAAAGAGCATGGCCCTGGATACTGTTGGCTCTATAGAAAACCAGGCCTACTTGCAACCTGGAGCTCAGCCCAGTTACAGCCATCCAAGCTCACTTGACTTATAGGCCCATGGGCAAGAAACATAAACATGTCTTGTGAACCACTAAAATTTTGGGAGTTGTTTGTTAGGCAGCACTACTGTAGTCATAGCTCCACTATACTTTATTAAAAACTCAACTTTTTTCCTGTTTATTTTTAAGTGTTGCTGGGAATTGAGCCCAGGGCCTTGTGCATGCTAGGTGAACACTCTAAAACTGAGCTACATCCCCAGCCTTAAGAATTCAATTTTAAAAATTCAAACTGGTAGCTATACTGGCAGCTTGGGTCCCATTTCTTCAATAAGCTGTTAAAAGAGCACTGGATCACTCACAGTATCCTTTTAGGGATAAGCTACCTTATATATACAGTCATGTGCTACATAACAGTGTTTTTGCCAATGATGTACTGCATATCTGACAGTGATCCCATAAGATTATAATGGAGCTGAAAAACTCCTACTGCATAGTAAAGTCATAGCTGTCATGATATTGTGACACAACACATTACTCATACATTTGTGATGCTGGTTTAAACAAACCTAGTTTGCTGCCAGTCAGATAAAGGTATAGCAAATACACTAATGTACATAAGTATGAACAGTTAGAATATATTGTTGGATAATGATAATAAATGACCATGTTGCTGGTTTATGCATTTACTAAAATTTTAATCATTAGAGTGTACTCCTTCTACTTAAAAGTTTACTGTAAAACAATGTACCATGTTATGCTATGGTGGCCTCATATCTTGTGTTTACCATGCCTCTTGATTTCATTATTTTCTTTTGTGCTTGATTTAATCTCATATCACTTTATTCATTAGGGCTCTAGAGTAATAGGCTGTACTATATGTATACACACACATACACAAACAGCATATGGCCCAGGAATATACTAGCAGTAACAAGTTTGTGTAAAGCATACTCTTAGGATTCTCATACAACAGTAAAATCACCTAATGATGCATTTCTCAAAATATATCCCTATCATTAAGTGACATATAACTGTATGTGTATGTGTATATATATGTGAAAACTTTTGCATATGCTACAATGGTCAATTAATATTAATATCAACAGAGGGAAAGTCCATAACTGCAGTTGCTTATATTTCTATTATCAAGGTTATATAAAATGTTCTATTTCTTCTTTTGTTTTGTTTCTTGTAGTGCTAGGGATAGAACTGAAGGCCAGGTGCATGCTAGGCAAGTGCTCTACCACTGAGCCACACTCCTAGCCTACAAAAAGGTTTTAAATCTCCACCGGTGTTACATTAGTATCCACAGTCACAAGGTGTCACAGAAACACAGGGAAAGGCTCAATAAGTCTATGTGATGGAATTTTGGAAGCACACTGAGTCAGCAAGGTTTCAGTTGGGCCTTATGGGATGAGGAGCACGTTTGCAAGGGGTTAAAGCACTGAAGGGTGCTCCAGGCATAGGGAATAAAATAAGCAAAGGCCTAAAGACCTCAATATCTATTTTCAAGAAAGAATGAGTAGCCCAATGTGGTCTGTAAGGGATAGTTCATACTTGAGACTGTGAAGAGAGGAAGCTACTGGTTGGTCTTTTCCAGAGGAACAGCAGAAATCTGATTAGAAACTGATTAGATAACTTGTTGGGTATATGGCGAGTAAAATGAAATAGAGAAGCCAATTTGATGGTGACTGTGACAGTCCTGAGGAAAGATAACTGCACCATAAACCAGAACAGGTGAAGCTGGGCCGGAGAAGACAGGCTATGTGTGAAAGATTCTATTGCAGGAAGACACAGAATAATAAGAAGGTAAGATTTGAAATGGTGATAAAGGAAAGGGATAGTAATATGGTTTGAATAATGTACCCCCACACAAATATATGTTGAGTTCCTGACCCTCCATATCTTAGAGAGCGACTTTATTTGGAAATCAGGTTTTTGAAGATGTAATCAGGTAGATTAAGATGAGGAAGATGGGGTCATATTGGAGTAGGGTAGAGCATTACTGCAATAAGACTGGTGTCCTTAAAAGAAGATGGCCACAAGACACAAGGGGAGAATGACATATGATGACAAAGGCAGAGATTGGGATTATGTAGCTGTAATCCAAGAAATGCCACAGCTATGAGGAGGCAAGAAAGGATTGCCACACAGGTTTTCACCTGTTTTTAATTAAAAAACTACTCTGGAAAGGAACATAAAGATTCCTAAAAAAATTAGGAATGGAACCACTATTTGATCCAATTATCCCACTCCTTGGTATATATGAAAAGGATTTAAAATAGCAACACAATTCACAATAGCTAAGCTATGGAACAGACTTAGGTGCTCTTCAACAGATGAATGGATAAATAAAATGTGATACATATACACAACAGAGTATTACTCAGCCATAAAGAAAAATGACTTTATGACATTTGCCAGTAAATGGATGGATTTGGAGACTTTCATGCTAAGTGAAATAAACCAATCCCCAAAAACTAAAGGCTGAAACATTGCTCTGATATGTGGAAGCTAATGCACAATAAGTGGGGAGGGGCAAGAATAAAAGTTCAGTGGAGTAGACAAAGGGGAATGGAGAGAATGGAGGAGAATGAACCTGACATACCTTTCCTATGTACATATATACCACCATGAACCTATCATGTACATACATAAGAAATTAATTAAAAGTAACTGGATACATGACAGAACAATCAATAAATGGAAGGGAATGGAGTTATTGGAAAGGAAGGAGAATTAGACATACTAGGGACTAAATTAGAAGAATATGTATTCCATGCTTTTATAATTATGTCAAAATAGATTCTACTATCATGTATAACTAAAAAGAAACCAATAAAAATAATTCTAAATTTAGTAATAGTTGACAGTGTCCATATTAGTTTCCTAGGGCTGTGGTAATAAATAACAATAACCTGGGTGGCTTAAATCAACAGAAATTGATTCTTTCCCAGTTTAGGAGGCCAGTAATCTAAAACCAAGGTGTCAGCAGAATACACCCATGCCCCTCCCCTAGATTGTAGAGGTTGTCAACCATCTTTGGAGTTCTTTGACTTGCTGAGACAGTTCTCTGCTTCTGTGTTCACATGGTGTTTTTTATATGTCTCTATTCTTTATGTGGCTATCTTATGAGGACTCTAATCATTGGATTGACAGTCTACCCTAATCCAGTATAACCTCATTTTAATGGATGATATCTACAATGATCCTATTTCCAAATAAGGTCACATTCTGAGGGTAGATATGAATTTTGGGGCAGGGGAAATATGCAACCCAGAGCAATAGCATGAATAAAATAAGGAAAGCAGGAAGAAAAAGAGTTAAAAGAAATTTCAGTGGAGAAATGAGGATCAGAGGGAGGCAGTATGTTCAATTTTGGACATTTTTATTCCAAGTTCCTATAGGACATCACAGTGAAGATTCTGGTAAACACCTGGAAATACAGTTCTCTAGAGTACACAGCTCACATCCAGACTATACAAAGATGTGGAAGTCACTGAAATAGGAGTGATCTGTAAAATTATGGCAATTGATAATATTGATGTGGAATCAGAACCCCAAGTACTGGCCTCTTTAAAGCCCCGAATCTTAATTTAAGAGATGATTTATGATTATGAACTAGTTGAATATTTTTGCAGGGTTATAGGAATCTTCTCAATATCTAGTACTAATAATAAGACATTTATTGGTTATTTAGTATATGATAGAAGCTCTTTTAAGTGTTTTACATGAATCCCATTGTTTAATCGTCACAGAAAGTCCCCAAGAGGAAGATGATATCATGATGCCTATTTATAAAAGAGAGAAACAAGTCATAGAAGGATGAAATAGCTTATCTATAACCAAACCATCAGTCAGTGGAGAAGCTTAGATCCTATCCCTGGCTGTGAGACTCCAGAGCTATGCTTATCTACTAGGCTGCCCTCCAAGACAGCAATGGAGTGGGCCTGTTCAGAAGTAGCTAACCTCCATCCCACATAGCTACATTTGGTTCTGTCATTTTCAGCAAGAAAAGTTAAGTAGAAAAAAATATTCTTGAATTGAAACTTTTTTTTTTTCTCTCAAGAATGCCGCCTCTCAGAGACTGAGCCCAGTCCAACAACTGGCAATGTAAAGAAGGAAATGACCCTTCTGAATTCTTTCTCAAGGGTGCTTTGTGTAATTCATATCATATGGAACTTAATGAAATGGGCTTCCTCACACCAAAAAGTAGTGAACCATTGTGAACATATTAAGCAATATATTTTAATCAATGAAGGCTGAGATCAAGACATTCAACTCCTATTGAACACATTCTCAAAAAGCTGATTAAAAAATTTAGGGCAGGGATTCCCAAGATGGCCGTGAATAGAGTGCATCACACCCCGTGTACCGAGCCACTGCGCGGGTGAATAACTAGTTAGGACGACAAAAGATTATCTTGTTAGGAACTTACAGCAAAATGGGGGTGCACCGAAACCTAGAGGAAGGATTTCCAGCACCGAGGGCC